GAAGCTTGTGTTTAACAATTTATGATTGAAATGTGATGGTTTTGGATTTGTTAGGGATAATAAAGAATTGGATCGGACATCAAAGTTTGGTGGCGGAGATGGTGAACAAGCTCTCTTTAGGAGTCGTCGAGGTTGGTTCATACTATTCTGATATAGCGTTAGAAGTCAACGCTCATTATGCAAATCCGGTCAACAGGTCACGAGCCGTCTTAATGCGCGTGTATTTCGGTAACCTATGGACAGGTACGGCCACAGTCGCCGCTACGTTTCTGTTGCTGATGACTCTTGTTCAGACCGTGGCTTCGATCATTCAGGTGTTGCAAAACGCTTAACAACACGGTTTTTTTTCTTTCTTTTTTTACGTTTTAGAGTTTGTGTCCAATTTAATATTGGAGCATTCTTCTTTCTTTTTGCTTTGTAATATGCTTTCTCTGTAAGATTTTCTGTCCAAACTAACTTTCTTATATGCCTATTCAATATTCATGGCTTCATTCAATTAGTATCATAATGGAAGGGTAAGGGGAATAGTTGTAAAATATTTTGGGAATATAATGTAGTATGCTAGACGAAATTTCATTAAAATTGTGGAATTGGATATCTTTTGTTTGCGAAAAATCATTTCTAAAAAAACCCATATTTGTTGTTTTGTTTTCGATTATTCCTTTTTAGAAAACTTTTTGTCACTTCACGTGATTAGTAGTAAGAAACTCATTTGCTAATAGATTTCTTCTATTTCATCAACAAAATTAAATTACAAAACACGAGCATATGATCATTAGACATTAATCAAAGCAGATATTCAATAATAGCTTATCAGTTATCATAACAAAATCATAAGATAGGAAAGCTTATCATAACGAGTCTTAATGCATAAAAGCTTCATGATATAATAATCAATTACCAGGGAAAAAAACAAAAGTCACAATCATAAATGCAATTGCAAATATCAGACCAAGCAAAATATATCTGTTTTGTAATCTTAATTTTATTTGGAGGATATCACAAAAGAAAGCACGGCAGAGTTATTTAGGCGATTTGGCGTTCTGCATTACCTGAATGATCGAAGCCACGGCCTGGATGAGAGTCATGAGCAATAATAACGTGGCGGCCACGGTACCCGTCCCTGTCCATGGGTTACCGAAATACACGCTCTTGAGGACGACGCATGACCTATTGAACGGGTCTGTATAATAGTTGTTGACTTCAGCTATTTCAGAATAGTAAGAACCAAAGACGACAGGGACGCCCAAACAGAGCTTGTTCACCATGTCTGCCACCGAGCGGTGTTCCCCAATATGATTCTTTATTATCCCTTAGAAAATCCAAAACCACCATGAATCAATCAAGACATACACACATAAACAGATATAGACCAATATAAATGATAAAACGGTTACCTTTTTCGACAAGCAAGTTGACGTCTTTATCAGTATCGATGAGGTGATCTAGGAAGATAACGTAGTTACTGACGTGAGCGCTATAAGGGTAATGACATTGCTCAAGATCCATTATGTTTCTCAAGTTCGTCGAAAACCCTAAGACAAGGTATCTTCAAACAACCGTTGTCGAACCTCACATACAATGAGAACTCTTTTTCTACCGCCTCAAATTTCACTCCTCCAGTATTTAGTTTATCCATATTATACATATGTTCTATGGGATGCTCAAATCTCTCTAGAGCAAGATTGGATCAAAGAGTTTCTCTAGGATAAAATAAGGAAGCTGGTTCTCGAGCAAGATGAGATCATTATGGAGTGTGTATGCCAGACAAGGCTCGTCCATGAGAGGATCCCCTAATTTCTCAGTCAATCTTTCCACGTCGTACTTGTAGCAAAATCTCAAAATGAACTCTATTATGAAAACAGAGTCGTGCAGGATCATCTCCACGAACTCAGAAGATTCAATCCAGGCCGTTGATTCTAAGTAGCTTTCCCTGATTATCTCTTCGTTTTCTTCGATTATTCTCTTGAACCCATCAATGGTTTCTTGCCCATCAACCCTTTTGACAAATTCCGCTAGGGAAAACTTCTTGTGCGCCTCCATGTTTAAGTAGCCCATAGACTTTGCGTTTGTGATATCTCCACGAGATTTGAGGGCTTGAGATTTTAAAGAATGGTTAAGAGGTCCAATGAGGACTAGTTGAGGGGTATATGCTTCTGGGTTTACTCNACGCATACAGTCTGGGACTCTATAGATGCAACAGTGCTTGGGATTTGTAGGAATCCGCCACATCCCGGGATAGTACGTTGACTCGGACTTGTCCTGCCGCTTAGAATCCATAGTCCCAAAAGCTGGGCTTTTACAACAAATTCAGTGAAAGTACTCAGAAATCCATGTGAGTAACAGTCACAAAGGGAAGAAGAAACTATTGTACGAGGCTCTAAATCTAAAAAACTGAAACCATGAGCTTCTATTTATCAAATATTTTTCTTTCTATTTGTTTAGGGTCTGATCGATAAGAGTACAAGCCAAGGAGGAGGAAGAAAAAGAAAGACTACTTACTTTCTTGAGAGAAGAAAGATATGTATGGCCGAGTCAAAACCGAAACTGTGAGCTTCTCCAAATGTTAATTACTCTTTGAATAAGTGACAC